AGTAACATCTTCATTTAACATCATTTCGCGAATAAATGAACTTAATCCGAGTCTATTTAATGAAGTTATATGTTGCTTTGCTTCTGGATCAAGAATATCATCTTCCAATTGACCATTGTCATCAATGTTTCCAAATAAAAAACCAGTCATATTGATTCCAGATATTATATCTTTATCATTTTCCTCTTCAGAATCGGCCATTTTTGATAATTAAAACTCAATAAATTAATATGATTTTAAACTTTTACTAAAAAATTATTGATTTTTTAAATGTACAGTAGATGTATGATGTTCACATATAACAATATTGTACAGTTTTTAATTATCATATATCATATATTTATTTATTTACAATTATGTATATATATTTATATACATTTATTATTATTATTACTATTTACAAGTAACTATTAATTACAAGATTAGTAAAATTTAACGTTTTGTTTACGTACACCTTTCCATCAACTAATCGCCATATTCTTTAACAAGTTATTATATAGAAGATTGCAATTATATTAATTTTTGAAGATATTTTAGAAATAAAATCCCTAGAAATTATCACATAATTCATGTATTAGATATTACACTTACTACAGACAAAATGGACAAATTAAACGTGGAATAATTTATTTTATATTTTATATTATATTTTATATCACAAGAATTTTTAAATTTACATACTTATGATGTATAAAAATTGAATCGAATAGATAAGCCTATTAAAATTTTTAATCAATAAATTAAATAAAAAAGATAATAAAATTAATTAAATATCAGAATCATTGTCTCAACACAAAACATAATAATTTGCATAACACGTATAGACAAAAAAAGTAGTAGATAAAAGAGAAGATAAAAACTCAAAATTCAATACATCAATATAGACAAGGATAGAAATAGAATAAGAATTTATCATCAACATCATCTTTTAACAAAAATATTTTTCCAAAGACAAAATAAAGTAGAATGAACATTGAGAATTAATGTCATTTTGAATATCAAAAACATCTTTCTAAAAATATTCAAGAGATGGTGTTAATAAACAATTCCTATTTTATATTTGTCTTTTTTTTTTAGTATTTGCTTGTTTTTTCTATATTTATATTTCAATTAGATATTTTAGAGATAGTACTGATTCCTAAATAAGATAAAAAAAGTCAATTGAACACATTTTCATTATTTTCTAAAATTACAATGTGTCTTAATTTTTAATATACATAAATATAAATATTATATTCTGAGATTTACAATCTTTAGAATGACAATTTCACAAAACATATATGATTTATGACATAAAGTATTGATAGAAATGAGATTTAAACAAATGAAAACAACAACAAATCTGACAACAAACAGAATAGAAAGAAATTTTAAAGTATTTTATTGAAAAATAATATTATTAAAGATTTCATCGAAGTTATTCTTTTATAATTTATATTGAAATTTAATTTCAATTTTAATCGCTACTAATATTACAACTTATCCATCAATTATCAAACTGATACTTGAACATACAACATTAAAATGATAAAGTTTTAATGTCTACAAAACATAAATTCAATGCAATTAAAAATATATTAAATATTAAGTCTAATTGGATGTTCAATGCATTGTATATACCTATTTTTGATATATATTAATTTTAAAATATAGTATATATGATTAATAGTAATATACTATATTATAGTCATATAATTATATTTAACATTTTTAAATTGTAATTAAATTTTAATATAATTTAGTGTTTATAATCAATTCGGTAATTTTTTTTTATGAATTGTTATTATTTATTTTCATTTATATTTTATACAAATTTTCATTCATCTATTCATTTAACCTTTTTGTTTATATAAGAAATGTTCTTCATTTTTTCTTCACTTCTATTAACTTATACATTTGATAATGTATTTTTAAAATTATATTTTTTTTTAAAAATGATTTCATTTTATATTAACATTTCTATGAATCAAAAAATAATAAAATAATTTAAATATAAATGTTCTAACCTCAAAACATCATTTGATGAATATTTATATATTATTTATATATTATTATTTCTACTTATTATAAGTATATAGTATTTACATATTAAAAAAATATTTAATATTAAATAATTTAAAGAAATCCATGTTTAAATTAATTTTTTTTAAAAAATATTACTTAAATTATGGTTTTCCATTTGTCATAACCATAATGTTATAACTCTCGACTCATAAGAGCGATGTTGCCAAGTTTTAGAATTTATCTAAAATAGATTATAAAAATTTCGACAATTCAATTTGTTAAATAAAAAAATAATACTTTTCATGTTACTAAAAAACGAACTACAAAAAACATAATATTAATAAAACTATAAAAACATCAACATAAATTGTTAATATTTTAAAATCTATAATATATACAAAATTTCAAATATATTTTTTATATAAAACTTATTTTTATAAAAAAATTTTTTTAAAATAAGAAAACTTGTTCTTATAGAAAAGATAAGATACAATTTATTTTTTTGTTCATGTACAAGTAATATTATTTTCATGGAAAGTAAAAATGTAATATTAATAAGATTTAATCATGGAACACAAACAAAACTTTTATGAACTTCTTAAAAATAGTTACATTATTAAATATTAACATAATTTTTTTCTAACAATGCTCTTTGCCATTGTTCTACTTGTACATTATTATAATAAATGAATATACCTAAAAAGATGATATTTATTAAGAAAATTTGAGATTTTACATTATTAATTTTTTTTTTTATGAAAATCATTTACAAAGAATCTTATATTATGTAAGTAACATGTGTTTGTTGATGTAGATGTTTTTCTACACAGTGCAAAATGCTGAAGAGACAACTAATGTGCCTTCATTTACAATGTTTATCACTAGAAATAACATAGCAGTATATCTGTTGTACAATATTTTTAGCCAAATTATTGAAAATTGAAATAATACATTAGAAGAGAAATAGAATTCATCTAGTTTTTACAAAAACCAGAATAATTAAAAACATCAAATAATAATAAAATATGAATACTTATTAAAAATCTTAAGTTATTACTTTATGATATTAAAGAATATAAAATGTATTTAAAAAGATTTTTTTTAAATAAACTAACATATAGATTGAACTGATCTAAATGTTAAGTTTGATATATATAAAAAGTATAAACAACTTTCCCATATTATATTATGAAATGAAATATTCTATATCAGAAAAAATAGAAAATTATTAATGCCTTCTTTTTAAAGTAAGCACTGGAACAAAAATTTTTTTATCAAGTCCATTTTTAAACTATTAAGGACAATCTTAAATCTCAACACAATCCTCCTCCTGTTTGTTGTTGATAAACTTCTATTGTATCTCCTTCTTCCATTTCAAGAGTGGTTGGTGTATCCAATTCATTTATAGGCTGTCCATCAAATCTAAACCTTACTGCTGCTATTGCCAAGCCCCTATATATATATATATATATATATATATATATATATATATATATATATATATATATATATATATATATATATATAA